TTGCCATGCTTCATTTTGTTTTTCACAGCCAAATTTTCCTGTTACTCCAGGTATCTCTTCACTTCCTACTTTTGCATTCCAGACCCCTATCATGAAAAGGACATCTCATTTGGGTGTTAGTTCTGGAAGATCTTGTAGGTCTTCATAGAACCGTTTAGCTTCACCTTCTTCAGCATTACTAGTCGGGGCGTGGTTATGCCATCAATGGTTATGGCCTTTTCTGAGTCTTCTTTTGAGCTCTTGCAGCTGGTGATCAGAAGGCCTCTTTGGCCAGTCTTTCTCCATAGCCCTGCCTGTTCAGGCACTTAGTGCCCTCCCGTGCCTGGGGTCCTTCTCTGTGGTTCAGCACGTCAGGCACATGGAGGGTCCCCACTGGCTGGAATCCTACTCTGTAGATCAGTGCATCAGGCACTTAAAGGGGCACCCTGGGTGGGCTCCTACTCTGTAGTTCAGCACATCAGGCATTTGATGGGCCAGCCTCTCTGTTGTTCACCTGTTGATGCTGGCATGTGGGGAGAGAGAGGCTATGGTGATGGCTTCACCCCATTACCCATGACTGTGCAGTATCATCTTGCTTCCTTGGCTGCTCGACTTTCCTCCAGAGGTATTTCCCACCACAATCTCCTCCCTCACATCCCTTCAATTCGTCTCTCTGTAGTCAACAGCAGCCCTCGCCCTTGGATTATTCCACATTCCCTAAATTCAAGTTTTGAACGGCTATGCCTTCCAGGGAACCTGCATCCCAATCTGGGCTACCTATGGCGGCAGCAAGGACTGTCTGATTCTCATTCCATTTAGGCTGCAAAAGATCAGCTGTTTTACTCCCAGCCTTAGATGTTTCTCCCCTAACTCAGACAATTGCCTGGATATGGGGATTGGTCCCATGCATCCGTTCCCCCACCCACTGAGACCAGTTCTAATCCTACTAACACTCCTGTTGGTCCCCCTAGTTCCTTTATCCTACCAAGTTTTGCATGGTTCTATATACTCTTTTCTGCTGGTCAGGTACTTCTGTTTGTTATCAGCTGGTGTTCTTCATGGGCTTCTGTGTCTGAAAGTGTATTCCTGATGTATCCATGGAGAGAGATGGTGCTCCATGTCCACCTACTCTTCCACCATCTTGTTCTCCCAAGTTTTTTTGTTTCTTGACAATCTCTTCCAGCTAGACTGTAACCTCCATGGAGACCTGGAACAGTGTCCAACAAAAGATGTTCTTGAGTTATCAAATAACTAAAGCTACTATAGAAAATATAAGAAAATATCCTTGTGAGCTAGGAGTGGGGAAGTACTTCCTAAACATTGTTTTAAACCCAAAACAGAATAAAACAAAAGAATATAATGATATTTTCCATATCCTGCTGATCATCAATTAGATAACTGCAATTCCAATTTGTAGAAATGGGCAAAGGGTATAAATGGGTTAATTATAGAAGAGGACACCCCCAAAGGTCACAGGATATGGTAGGAGTGCAGAAGGGTGGCAGCCATTGCAGTGAGCAGCCTGGCACGACTGACTCCAGTGAAGCTTGCACATCCCTGAACTCCAGCATTTCTGCTCCTGGGAAACTGTGACCAATCCACTCAGTAGGGGTGTATGAGGGTGTCCTCACAGTGTCGCCTGTGGAGGCGGGAGTCAGAGCCAGCTAGACGTCCCACTGACTCTCCTTCTGATCTAATGTCAGACCCTCAGGTGGGTCTGCTTAATTTATGAGTTTCCACTTGTGTATGGATGACAGCAGAAGTCAACACGCTAGACCCTTGCTCGGTACGTTCTTTGGACTTACATCCCATGTGTCTGACCAGGGTGTCCACACCTACTCTATGTACCCATGTGAATCTGGTTCTACCCTGACACAGTTTTTCTCCAGGGATTATGGTGATCCCTATTAATATCTGCTAAACCAACAACTAAAACTGTAACAATGCCTGCAAATGCTCCTGCTTTGCAGCACCCACAGGGGGACCTGGGATAGAGAGCTAATTTAGTCATCTGTAAGCACCTGCAAGGCTGTACTTCCCACCTGGCTTTTGTACAGGATCCCTAGTCCAACTCCACACTGCCCTTTAGTTAGAGAAGGTGGCCTGCTCTCTTCTCCTCGGGTTGATTTTATTTGTTTTTGCCTGTGTTGGGTCTTCCTTGCTGCATACAAGCTTTCTCTAGTTGTAGGGAATGGAGGCTACTCTCTAGTTGCTGTGCACAGGCTTCTCATCGTGGTGGCTTCTCTTATTGCAGAACATGGGCTCTGGAGCCCAGGCTCAGTAGTTGTGGGGCATGGGCTCAGGTGCTCCATGGCATGTTGGATCTTCCCCGACCAGGCATCGAAGCAATGTCCCTTGCATTGACACATGGATTCCTATGCACTGAACCCTTCAAGGAAGTCCTACTCATGTTTTTTTCTCGCTCTGTCCTGAATTGTAACCACTTCTCTAACCTCTGCTTTCTCCTGGATTGGAAGTATATGTGTATATGTATATGTGTATAAGTATATGTGTATATGTATGTGTGGGCTTAATCGTATCTGACTCTTTGCAACCCATGGACTCTAGCCCACAAGGCTCCTCTCCACGGAATTTTCCAGGCAAGAATACTGGAGTGGGTTCCCATTTCCTTCGCCAGGGGGTGTTGCCCACCTAGGGACTGAAACTCTGTCTGTTGCGTCTCTTTCTTGGGCAGGAGGATTCTTTACCACTAGCGCCACCTGTCTCTCGAAAGCCCAAAAGAAAGTGTGGGGCTTTATAAATTGGACCACCTGAATCATTTCCTCTACAAGGAGTTCACTGACACCATCCACTCACACCTGCTGCCTGTCCTTTCCCACTCCTTTCAAACAGGTGCAGCTTAGCCTCTGCAGCCATTGGCACATCCCCCTTGACATGTGTTTCAACCTAAATATCAGCTTTATTACTGATGAATCTGATCGGCAAGACCGTGGCTTGGGCAGTTTTTGTTGTTGTTCAGTCGCCCAGTCCTGTGCGACTCTTTGCAACCCCATGGATTGCAGCACATCAGGCCTCCCTGTCCCTCACTATCTCCTGGAGTTTGCCCAAGTTCATGTTCATTGGGTCCCTGATGCCATCCAGCCATATCATCTCCTGACGCCCTCTTCTCCTTCTGCCCTCAATCTTCCTCAATATCAGGGATTTTTCCAGTGAGTCAACTGTTCCCATAGATGAACAAAATAATGGAGCTTCAGGTTCAGCATCTGTCCTTCCAATGAATATTCAGGGTTGATTTCCCTTAATATTGATTGGTTTGATCTTCTTGCTGTCCAAGGGACTTTCAGGAGTCCTCTCCAGCACCACAGTTTGAAGGCCCAGATTCTTTGGGGCTCTGACTTCTTTATGGTCCAGCTCTCACAACCATATGTGATCACTGGGAAGACTTTAGCCTAGACTCTATGAACCTTTGTCACAGAGTGACATCTCTGCTTTTCAAGACCCTGTCTAGTTTTGTCATCGCTTTCCTGCCAAGAAGCGATCATCTTGTAATTTCATGGCTGCAGTCACCATCCACAGTGTTTTGAAGCCCAAGAAGAGGAAATCTGTCACTACTTCCACCTTTCTATTTGCCATGCAGTAATGGGGCCAGATGCCATAATCTTAGTTTTTTAAATATTTAGTCTTAAGCCAGGTCCTTCACTCTCCTCCTTCACCCTCATCAAGAGGCTCCTTAGTGCCTCTTTGTTTTCTGCCATTAGAGTGGTATCATCTGTGTATCTGAGGTTGTTGATGTTTCTCCCACCTGTCTTGATCCTGGCTTGTAACTCATTCAGCCTGGCATTTCTCATGATGTGCTCAGCATATAGAGTAAACAAATAGGGTGACAGAAGACAGCCCTGTCATACTCCTTTCTCGATCTTGACCAATCAGTTTTCCCATACAGGGTTCTGTTCCTTTTTGACCCGCACACTGGGTTCTCAAGAGGCAGGTAGGATGGTCTGCTATTCCCATCTCTCTAAGAGCTTTCCACAGTTTGTCATGATCCACACAGTCAAAGGCTTTAGCCTAGTCAAGGAAACACTGTGAGGTGATTTTCTGAAATTCCATTGATTTCTATATAAGCCAGTGCATGTTGGCAATTTGATGTCTTGTTCCTCTTCCTTTTCTAAACCCAGCTTGGACATCTGGAAGTTCTTGGCTCGCACAGTGCTGAAGCCTAGCATGCAAGATTTTAAGCGTGGCCTTACTAGCATGGGAGATGAGTGCAATTGTCTGATGGTTAGCACATTCTTTGGTACTACCCTTCTTGGCAATTGGGATGAGGCTTGACCTTTTATTTATTTTTTTTTCCATTTATTTTTATTAGTTGGAGGCTAATCACTTTACATCATTACAGTAGTTTTTGTCATACATTGAAACGAATCAGAGGCTTGACCTTTTAGAGTCCTGTGGTCTTCCAGATTTGCTGACATAATGAACGCAAATCCCTGACGGCATCCTCCTTCAGGGATTTGCAAAGTTCTGCTGGAATTTCATATAGATATGAAATCATCTATAATTTCACTATAGATATGGAGTGGGCAGAGGGGGGACGCTGGTGGGTCGTGTGGCTTGGCCCCTTGCCCTCGACTCCCACCTTAGTCTAGTAAGACCCTTCTATGGCATATGTTGGAGAAATCAAAGTTGCATTGTGGAACTAGCTTTAGGCCTTGAAACTGGAAAGTTGGCATTTGTGTCTCAGTGGTGTCTCTGTGGACACTTGGCAGGGTCCATTCCACACCGTCTGGACCAGCCCTGGAGGGGCTCTTGTGTGCAGGCGCATTGGGCCCAGCTGAGAGGAGCGTGGCTTCGCGAGCAAGCCGAGTCCCTCAAGTCCCACGGGGTCTGCATAGCAGCCCGGTGGAGGCCAGCAGGCTGGGCGGTAACCAATCCAGTGCAAGGAGGCACCCTGAAGGGTGTCTGCAAAAGCACACTATTGGCGTCCTTGCGCAGAGGGGGAGGGACTTGGTGAGCGGCTCAGTCTCTCCGCCCCTTCCGTTGGCGTCTGATCGAGACGGACGGCCGCCATGCGAACCACGGTTATTTCCACCCGTGGCGCACAGGCCCGAGATGACCAGCAGAGCGCCAGGACGCGTCCTTTCCGGAGGGGTTCAGGCAACGCTGAAGGTGAGGATGGTCACCGGGCCCCAGAAGGCCAGGGTCGGCCTGACAGAGGAAGAGCGATAATGGAAGCTGCTGTAGCTCCTCCCAGGGCTGAGCAGGCACCACGTGCCCCAGGACCTGGTGGAGATGTAGCACCCTTGGCTGTAATGCCTAGACGTAGAGTGATGGTGTTGTATCCTTTTCTTTAAAAAAAAAAAATTATTTTAATTGAAGGCTAATTACCTTACAGTATTGTAGTGGTTTTTGCCATACATTGACATGAATCAGTCATGGGTGTACATGTGTTCCCCACCCTGAACCCCACTCCCAACTCCCTCCCCATCCCATCATTCAGGGTCATCCCAGTGCACCAGCCCTGAGCACCCTGTCTCATGCATCGAACCTGAACTGACAATCTATTTCACATATGATAATATACATGTTTCAATGCTATTCTCTCAAGTCATCCCACCCTTGCCTTCTCCCACAGAGTCCAACAGTCTGTTCTTTACATCTGTGTCTCTTTTGCTGTCTCACATACAGGGTTATCATTACCATCTTTCTAAATTCCATATATATGTGCTGGTATACTGTATTGGTGTTTTTCTTTCTGGCTTACTTCACTCTGTATAATGGGCTCCAGTTTCATCCATCTCGTTACAACTGATTCAAATCCATTCTTTTTAATAGCTGAGTAATATTCTATTGTGTATATTTACCACAGCTTTCTTATCCATTTGTCTGGCATTGGACATCTAGGTTGTTTCCATGTCCTGGCTACTGTAAACAGTCCTGTGATGAACATTGGGGTACATGTGTCTCAATTCTGGTTTCCTCAGTGTATATGCCCAGCAGTGGGATTGCTGGGCCTTATGGCAGTTCTATTTCCAGTTTTTTAAGGAATCTCCACGCTGTTCACCATAGTGGGTGTACAAGTTTGCATTCCCACCAACAGTGTAAGAGGGTTCCTTTTTCTCCACACCCTCTCCAGCATTTATTGTTTGTAGACTTTTGGATAGCAGCCACTCTAACTGGCGTGAGATGGTACCTCATTGTGGTTTTTATTTGCATTTCTCTGATAATGAGTGATGTTGAGCATTTTTCATGTGTTTGTTAGCCATCTGTATGTCTTCTTTGCAGAAATGTCTGTTTAGTTCTTTGGCCCATTTTTTTAGTGGGTTGCTTATTTTTCTGGAATTGAGCTGCATGCTGCTGCTGCTGCTGCTGCTAAGTTGCTTCAATCATGTCTGACTCTGTGCGACCCCATAGACAGCAGCCCACCAGGCTCCCCCATCCCTGGGATTCTTGAGGCAAGAACACTGGAGTGGATTGCCTTTTCCTTCTTCAATGCATGAAAGTGAAAAGTGAAAGTGAAGTCGCTTAGTCACGTCCCTCTTAGGGACCCCATGGACTGCAGTCTACCAGGCTCCTCTGTCCATGGGATTTTCCAGCTGCTTGTATATTTTTGAGATTAATTCTTTGTCAATTGCTTCACATGTTATTGTTTTCTCCCATTCTGAAGGCTGTCTTTTCACCTTGCTTGTAGTTTCCTTTGTTGTGCAAAAGCTTATAAGTTTAATTAGGTCCCATTTGTTTATTTTTGCTTTTATTTCCATTACTCTGGGAGGTGGATCATAGAGGATCCTGCTATGATTTACGTCAGAGAGTGTTTTGCCTATGTTTTCCTCTAGGAATTTTATAGTTTCTGGTCTTACATTTAGATCTTGAATCCATTTTGACTTTATTTTTGTGTATGGTGTTAGGAAGTGTTCTAGTTTCATTCTTTTACAAGTGGTTGACCAGTTTTCCCAGCAGCACTTGTTAAAGAGATTGTCTTTTCTCCATTATGTATTCTTGCCTACTTTGTCAAAGATAAGGTGTCCATAGGTGCATGGATTTATCTCTGGGCTTTCTAGCTTGTTCCATTGATCTATGTTTCTGTCTTTGTGCCAGTACCATACTGTCTGATGACTGTGGCTTTGTAGTATAGTCTGAAGTCAGGCTTCTTTCTTAAGATTGCTTTGGCTATTCAATGGTTTTTTTTTTTGTATTTCCATACAAATTGTGAAATTATTTGTTCTAGTTCTGTGAAAAATACAGTTGGTAGCTTGATAGGGATTGCATTGAAACTATAGATTGCTTTGGGTAGTATACTCATTTTCACTATATTGATTCTTCTGATCCATGAACATGGTGTATTTCTCGATCTATTTGTGTCATCTTTGATTTCTTTCATCAATGGTTCATACTTTTCTATATATAGGTCTTTTGTTTCTTTCGGTAGATCTGTTGCTAAGTATTTTATTCTTTTCATGGAGCCTCCCTGGGCAGGGTCAGTGGTATGGTGGTGGGAAACATGCCGGCAGCCTGAGGAAGGGATAGAAGGGAGCACAGGGGCGATCCAAGGCAGCAGGAGTGGGCGGCCTGGCAGGAAAGGAGGTTGTCAAGGCCTGAGGAGCCTGGAAATTGGGGAAGACAGTCCAAAGGGTTTGGGAGGCAGCTCAGGGTGGTCTCAGGTTGTGGTCGGGAGCATGGGCATCCTGGGGTAAAAATGGGCCTCTGAGAAGTGAGGAAGCCCAAGATACCAGCAAATTAATGGATGGTGCCTTAACCGTGTCTTTCCCAGCACAGTCAGAGTGACTTTCCTATCCCCACTGGAGGCACACTTGACTCTCAGGTCTCTGCTCCGAGATGTCCAATGCCACCAAGGAACGATTCGGAAGCAATATGCAGTGATTGGCTGCAACCTGATTGTGTCAGTTCCAGATGAGTTTGCCTTGAGGATTGGGGGGGGGGGGGCGGGTGCTGTGGTCTGAGCTCCCTCTTAAGAGTGCTATGATGGAGATGCTGAGGGGCTTGGTATAAGGAGGGGGGCTGGTACCCTGGACCTACAGGAACAATCTTCCCTTTAACCTGATTTTCCCCACTTTTAGTAGATGGACTACTGAAGACCTGGCTTCGATCCAAATTTCCATCAACCCATTCCTCCATAAGCTTTCCCTGGTGATTCAGAACATTCGGAGCCTTGGGATCCCACCTTTCCTAGGCTGAGGAAAGTGGCTGAAGCCTAACCTTGTGTCCCTTACCTGACAAGGCATAGGAGATTCAAACTTAAGAGCCATCACTGCTTTGTTATTTGAGTGTAAGTTTTTGCCTTTACTGGCCTTTGGTATCTCTTGGTTCACTTTGTTTCCCTGCTACTTGAGGAGTGGGATGCTTCAGTGTTTCACAGTAGAAAATAAAACTAAGTCACTTTCTGTGCCTCAGTTTCTTTTCAGCTAATGCGCTACTGGATTAGAAAAAAACTTTTTATCTTTGTTCTCATGTTAGAAATTCAAATGAAATTCAGATGTTCCAGTAGGACAAGGTAATTGAAAACAATTTAAGAAAATGAAAACCAAGCCCTATGTTCAGTACTAAATACTGTCAACATTAAGAATATTTTCTACTTGTACTTGCACATTAAATTTATAACAGCATGTAATGTTCAGTTCAGTCACTCAGTCTTGTCCAACTCTTTGGAACCCCATGGACTACAGCACGATAGGCCTCCCTGTCCATCACCACCTCCCTGAGCCTACTCAAACTCATGTCCATTGAGTCGGTGATGCCATCCAACCATCTGATCCTCTGTCATCCCTTATTGCCATCTATCAAGTTTAGCATTAAAGATTTTCCTGACTTTTTTTCATTTAATATACTAACTTTTCCACTTTCTAAAAGCTCATCAAAAGTGTGTTATTGACTAGATATAAATGCATCATAATTAATTATTGGGGACTTCCCAAGAAGTCCAGTGGTTAAGACTTTGCATTTCCAGTGCAAGGGCTGTAGGTTCAATTCCTGGTAGTGGAACTAAGATCCACGTACCATGTGGCGTGGCGAAAAAATTAAAATTGGGTCTTTAAAATAAAAACAATAATAATGTAATTATTAAACATTTAAGCTGTTTACAATTTTTTCATTACTGTGGTTAATGATTCAGTGGAATTCATGTATATAATTCTTTCCGTTAATGGTTCTTTCCTTAGAGTATTAATATATTCCAAAAGCCAGAAATATTCACAGATGTTTACTTCTCCATTTCTTTTTTAAGAGCCTTGATCACAGGGAATTCCCTGGCTGTCCAGTGGTCAGGACTCCAGGCTTCCACTGCAGGAGGCATGGCTTTGGTCCCAGGTCAGGGAACTAAGATCCTACAAGCCATGAGATGCAGCAAAACAAAACAAAAGACAGAGAGGAAACAGATTCTCTTTAAAAAAAAAAAACACAAAAACTCTTGATCACAATTTCTCTTCAGAAAATATACCTGCTACCAGATTTCTGGTTTCCCAACATCCTTGTCACAATAGACTTGGTTTCCTAATAAAATAAAACACTTACTTTGCATGAGGAGAGAAAACACCTAGGCACACTAAAATAAGAATTTTGTGGCTGACTGTAGTTAAGTCAGTGAAGAAAAATGTTGGGACAATTAATTGAGTGATTGGGCATGGGGAGTTAGTTGTCTCTTAATATATCTTTTATTCTGCAAACTTGCTAAATTCACTGATTCGTTCTTGTTAATATTTTGTAGATTCCATTTGATTTTCTGCATAAACAAGCATGTCTGCAGATAGTTTCACTTTCCCCTGCCAATCAAATTAATCTCAAAAACATACAAGCAGCTCATGCAGCTCAATTCCAGAAAAATAAATGAACTGTTCAAAAAATGGGCCAATCTAGATGTCTTTTATCAATTGATTTCTCTCCTCATAATGGCTTGAATATTTCTCATTCTTGGCATACTCTTTTCCTTGGGTGCTGGGTATATTTTTCCCTAGGTATATTCCACAACTTTTAAAAATGTTTTAAAGCTTACTTACTGTTTACTTACTTAGAAACACTTTGATCCTGTTGAGTCTTGCCTTAAGGGTTGATCAGTGGGAGTTTGAGACAAGAGCCTTCTGAGTACTGTATATGATGTCACCTGAATGAAGAGTTTCTGCTATGGCTCCAGCAGACTCTCTGCCCACGTGCAGGGTTCTCTCCTCCCTCTGCCGCCCTCTTCTCTCTGGTCCACTGCCTGCCAGCTCCAATAGCCTGTGCTCTGCAATTCCCCCTTGACACCCAGGGGGACAGCTGGACATGGCCTGGGCAGTCTGTGTAGATAGCAAGCTGGGGCAGCTGCACAGCTCGTCTCTTCCGTGTTTCAGCTCCCAGAGATCACTGCTGATCCTCCCTGGCCTGAGGCCCAGTTTTCTCACAGCCTGAGCTTCATATACTTTGGCCTGTTTTAAGGGGATCTTTGAAGCCAGTGGCAGGGGAGACCCAGTCCTGCTCCTCCATATGCATGAACAGAGTCTGTCATGACAGAACCAGGAGAGCTCTGCCCCCGTGGGCTGGAGGGAGGCAGGTGCTGCTGCCGGGGATGGTGGCAATGGTCCTGTGGGTGACAGTGATAGAGTAATCTCACCTGCCAGCACCCAGCAGCTCTAATGGCTACAATGATCCTTCCTTTCAAAATGTAAGCCAGATATGTCTCCCCTGTTCAGTTCCCTTCACTGGCTTTATTCTCGCTCAGAATATGAGCCAGAGGTCCTTCTAATGCCCAGAAAGGCCCCACATTCTCATCTGTGAAACCCCATTCCCTCCTTACCTCCTCTGCTGTGCACACTCTTGCTCACTCCATGCCAACCACACTGGCCTCTTGGCTGCACACTCAACATTCCAGGTTTTCTTAGGAATTAGTGCTTTTGCATAGTCTGTTCTCCCTGCCTTAACTACCCTCTCAAGTATAGCTCCTAGCCACCTTCCTCATCTCTGAGTCTGCTCAGGTCTCATCTTCTCACCCGACTTCCTCCTGCAGCCACCCTCCCCACAGCCTGGTGTGCAGCCAACCTCTTCATGCTGTTCTTTCCCACACCACTCATCACCTTCTATAATACAGCATAATTTACAAATTTGTTTTACTTTCTGCCTCTTCTCAATAGAGATAATCACTATTCTGACTTCTATCACCATAGAGTATGAAAATGAATTAAAAGTCTTTTTGAAGACCAAAGAAATGGAAATATTTAAAATTTCAAGACAGATATAAAACAATTAGGTTGTGCTCCTTTGTGTGAAAGTAAACAGAGGCTAAAACTCATTCAAATAAGAGGTTTTGACCATGAAACACACCATGAGAACACAGTGCTGGACAGAAGCCAAATGGAGGGACACATCCCATGGATTGGCCTGCCTTCCCCACAGAGGTCTCCCAGGAAGCGATGTCTGTGTGTGGTGCCAGAGTGGGACTGGGTTCACGATCAGCCTTGTGGAGTTCCAGTGAGCAGCAGCCTTGATTGGAAAAGCCATCCTGTCCCTTAGGCTCTCCAGTGCCCCATCTGCTATCAGTGAGGTGCCCATGTGGGAGGGGTCTCTGTCTCAGCTCTCGGGCCCCCTGCTTCAGCCTGCACAGTGCCACTCTGTCTCAGAAAATAAAAACTAAATTTATAAAAACAAATGGCACAATTAAAATAAAGAAATAATAATAAATGCAATTTAAGATCAAAGGAAATAAAGGATAAAGCTGGAAACTTAGGGAGGTGCCTGGTGGAGTAAAGGGGCCAGAACTCATGGGGCCTGGGGCTCAGAGACCTTCAGGTTAGGTTTCCCGGCCCTAGCTTCTCAGGTTAGCCTTGTGGGGCAACATACCCTTCTTTAGGTCAGGGGCTTGGTCTGGAGTGTCAGGAAAAACCATTTGTGGTAACTGGCCTGTTTCTTGACCAGGGTGAGGAAGTTCACTTGGCTTCTCCTCCTTTCTCTCAGCACCAGGATTCCCCTTGGCTGTAGGGTCTGTGCCTTTGGCCTGGTTCCCTGAAACCTGAGCCCCAGCTACTCTGGTTGTCTCTGCCTTACATCATGGCATAGAGACGCTGCTGACCTGGCACCCAGGGCAGCTGGGAGCATCAACTGTGGGGAAAAGAGACGTGAGAGCACAAGAGGCCTCTGCTGTGGGAAAGCAGGCTGGGTTCTGTTGCCTTTTAATGTCAGTAGCGAAGTTCACCTTATCTGTGGTATCTGGCAGAGCCGTTGATTTTATTGTCAACTACTGAAGCTAGTTTCTGACCCAGAAAAAAGGCGTGGTTTGGCTGACCAGGAGCAGTGCCTGTTACAGCCACCTGCTGAACTGCTTGCAGCAAAGTAACATGGATGTGGGGCATTCCATGTGAGTCAGGTTAGGCCTGTTGTACTTGATAACAGCAGGGAAGTCTATTTTCAACCCTCAGCTTTCAAAACGTGTTCCAAGGTCATTACTTAAATAAGAGGACGCTTAGGTCATGATTCTTCCTTGTAACTTTTATTAATGCCAGAAATGAAATAGTAAAAACAGTGAATTTTTCAAAGTGGCATCATTTTTTCACATTTCACAGGCTCCAGGGGTTAGGACTTCAACATCTTTTTCTGGGGCACACAATCCAATCCACAGCCACCATCCATCACCTACCCACTTCACTCTGAGCACAAGCCCTCACCATGGGCCCTAAGGCCTATACATCCAGTCCCTGTCAGCTCTTGGCCCCCTGTCCTGCTGCTCTCCTCTTCACCCACTCTGCTCCAGCCACACGTCTCCTGACCCTCCCAAACCTCCTTCAAGTTTTCACTCCGCATCTACTTCACAACCCGACCACCCAGTTGAAAATGGAGAACCGCTCCTCGAAGCGCTCCCTCTCTTTTCTCCTACTGCAGTTCTGGCCAGAGTTCTCACCACATACCCAAAGGCTACCTAATGTAGTAGTTATTTCGTGTCTTGACAGTCTCTTCTGGCTATACGACTCACCACTCACCATACACGTTAAGTTATCATCTGTCATCTTGGGGGCTCGCTACCACTATCACTATCACTTGCAACTTGGTCGCTTCCCATCATATTCTGTCTTTTTAAACTCCTGTCCGAATCACACATTCAGTCTGTCACACTCACTCAAAACCATTCACCTGTCACAGTGGTAAAATCTCAAACTCATTCTATCACACACTGTCTTTTCTTCATACATCTGTCACTCTCTTGCCACACATATTATTTGTCATTGTCATTATCATTTTCTGTTGCAGATCTCACAATTCAGACCCAACTTAGGTCCCATGCCTGATGGAGCACTGTAGTAATCAGACTTGAGAAATGGAGCAATCAAAATGCACAAGACTTTGAGCTGCTGGTGTTGGGGAGAGAGTGGGTTTATATGATTTGTTTGGA